GCGTCGGAGGTCATTTAATTTTGTTAGGCTGTCGACGTGTGGCCTAAGCGACCACCAACCAGCGCCCGTATATATTCGTCCTATCACTGTAATAGGCTATTACTGTCCCATCTTCAGATAGACGTTTCTCTTATCCAATTGACCGTAGTAACTAAGTATCCAAACAGCGGTGTATATTTACGCTAGTATATCTATTGATAGTGTAGATAAGCGTTCAGGGAATTAGTATGCAATTCCTGTTTAAGCTTTTAATGGAATTGCAATTGAAATTTGCATACGCGCATATGTGAGTGGGTTCAAGTGCATTCCGTGAGGTCAGATACCAACTAAAGCTCAGTTGAAGCATTATTAATAGAGTTAGCAATATTTATCCGCCTAACAGTCCCATGAGGCAGTTAGAATGTTGTACCTTTATTGAGATTTCAAATATTAAAATTGGTGATATATATTGAAAGTTAATAATCATTATGATTACCTTGTTGTGTTTATGACATAATAAGCTACATAAAAGCAGGTTAACACGGGTATTAAGAACGGGTATTAGGAACCTATTGAAATACGATTGTGTATTCGTCCAGTTTATTGGAGGGTGACAATAATTTCGTTAAGATAATTTTTATGCAAAAACTTGGTTTTGTTTCATACTGTGTAACGCGATTATACGCTCACAGTGCATTTAGTTCGAAAGCTTTGGTGGTGACAATTTGGTATATGATACGATCCTAAAGGGAAGCGAATATAATTCGTCAGGCCATGGATGATGAAACATGCATCTCGTGTCCATATGCAGGGGGACAGGGGTAAGGGGTCGTAGGTCAGTTATATATTGCTATACGATAACTTTCTGTTCGGGTCTTCCTGTATGCCCTGAGGATTGCTTACTTCATGTGTCACGTAACATGGTGAACTTTGACCCTCTCATATTGTACTGATCTTTAATCGTGAAGGCTAGGGAATTACACTAATATTATATTATTACTAGCTTTCGCCCGTGACTCCATCCGCGTGTTATTAAAAAAAGCAAAATTAGGTAGCCTATGTGTTCTTCCAGACTATCCTCTACATCTATACAAATTTCATCGAGATCCATTTAGCCGTTTAGGTTACAAACTCTAACAAACATCCATCCATCCATCGTAACTTTCGCATTTATAATATTTATATGATATAAGATATAGTATAATTTATATTATTATAATACTACATTATTATTACAATACTACTAAATATACTGAGTATCCTGACGATTCTTTTTCGGATTACAAATTTACTGCTGTACTTTTATTTGGAAAAATATTCATAAAATTAATTAAATAGATTTCATATCCGCTGATTTACTGATGTGAAATGACTTCAAATTAGATCGTTGATCAAAGTCCAATCAGTGATCTAAACTCATTTCAACGATCAATATGATTAAAACATAGAAACAGGATTACAGTTAGACAATTTTTTTGTCCAGTCATTGTTCGTAATGGAACGATATTTGATTGAGTGCTCTAATAGAAGCAATACATTTATATTTTGTTAGCTAACAACAGACTGTTGGCATTAGGTTGTAATAAATCGTCCGTTTGAAACGCAATTACCCCGGTCCCCAAATTTGTGGGGTTGGTCGGGCCGCGTAAACAATCTCCTTCAACTTAACGCTACATCTCTCAATGTCTTCAAGCTTCTTATTCTTCACAATTTGTAATTCTCTTAGACATCACCCCTTTTTCTTTTGGTTTACTTTTCGGTCGATATTATAATGAAGGAAGCTAATTTGTTTTATAAAAGCTGGCTTTTGTTACGCAAAAAGTGGCTGGGTCAATGACCTTTTAAAAATTACGTTAAAAAGATTTTTATCTACGCGTGTTACATTTTTTATTAAGTTTTGTTTTTATTTCGTTGTTATTATTTCTATCGATCTAAACTGATTGTGACGTTAGTCTATACTTTTGAACCTTATACAAATCTTACACAAAATGCCAAAGTTAAACATTTATGTGATTATTCAATAGACTGGGCAAACCACCAGAGACAGAGGTCATCGACCCTGTAGCCCTTCTGAAGCCGCATATGGACAATATTCGAAAGTCAGTAAAGTTGCGGCACTAAACTTCACAAGCTTAACATCCTGTACAAACACTAAGATATATTCTATGTATAATTAAGTTTCGAGCAACTAAGAGTCAACATGACAAAACAAATAAATTAATTTTGTCTTGTCATCGCTTATGTCGTCTGCATTGAATAGGAGTAGTTACGTAATGCGCCCTCAGCTGGGGGTTGATTGCGACTGTATATTAATGGCTAAAGGGCGCCCTACCCACTTCATTAGGCGAACAAACAAGAGGGGGGAGGATAGGCTCTTTACCTCGTCACCCTCTTAACCTCCCGCGGCGCAACATCCAGCGGGAACTCAAAGACTTTGCTGTCACGACTTTTGTACGTGACCTAAACTGGCTCGCGTGTTTAATTGTATGGCTTTCATGTTGCCCTGCTGAATTATTTATTCTATTTTTACTATTTTTAATAAGGTGTTATGTTTCTTTTTTAATTACACCTGCCAGTGTTCTTTATGTCATAAAAGTAGGTGCTAATTAAAAAAAACTGTCAGTTACATGATGATAATAGACCTCAATATTTTTCAAAACCACTGAGCTAGTTTTGATGATACTTTGGTACGATGTTATCAGGACACCAGATAAGGTTGTTATGTAAATACTGGCTTTCGCCCGCGACCCCGTCCGTGTGGAATTGTTCTTCCGGACTATCCTCTACATCTTTGCCAAATTTTATCAAGATCCGTTCAACAGTTTAGTCTACAAACTATAACAAACATCGATCCATCCATCCATTCATCTAAACTTTCGCATTTATAATATTACAGTATATATTATAATAGTTTAAGTAGACAGGCTTTAAAAAAAATTAACGAATTAAGGTAGCTACCATCACAATACATGTAAATATGTTCATTATTCTTGCTTTCATTATCATTCATAGTGTAGGTAGGCGTCATGTTAAGTTCTTATGAAAAAAATACACTTTAAGTTTTAACTTACATACTTGATGATCGTCACTTAATACTTTAGAATATTGTACCCTTAAATATTTCTCTTTTGTAAATGTTTGCCCTTCAATTTGATTGTCGTTTAAATTATTAGAAAGCGAACGAAAAAATACAAACCGTTAATGTACAGTGAGTATTGAGTTACATTTTATATTATGCTTAGGGTTCTCTACAATTTTATTACGACAAAAGTATGATTTCGCCGTACTCTTGTTTTCTGTTTATTTACTGCAAAGTCTAGTTTAACGTAAATACGCTCATGAATTCACAGAGATAACCAGCCTTTTGTAGTATGACTGTGCTTAAAAGCGTCCGCTATTAAAGTCATAAGGGGCTTGTGTTATACAACGAAATGCTGAGCGGTACTCTAACGTAGATTCTAATTTTATGTTGTGTGTATTAAAAATAAATGAATATTTTTTGGTCAGTTTACTAGCTTGTATTATCATATTTAATTATTAATTCACTTTTGCACAGATTTTTCTTTACGATTTACACCTACTTTTGTGTTGATATTCCGTAAACAATCTCTTAGTGCTCTAAGCTGTTTATAAGTTTTCACATTCATACCAAAATGCGAATGCGCAGGGAGTAATAATCAATTTAAACTTACGGAACCCATGGCATAAAAAGCCGATAGTTAATGAACTAATCAATCACTCTTAAGTCGAGCCTAAAGCGATTTATTTGATATTTAAATTCAATATTAATGTGTATTTGAGATATAAACTTGTTTCGTAAACTATGTTTAAACTCGAGATGTTCTGAATAGTTGGATTTTTGTAAAAGATATGTCGACAAAAAATACTACCATATTTAAATTTTAGCATAATAGTCTCTCCTAGTTTGGTTAACGTAGTTGAGAGTTTAATGATTGTTTGTTACAGGTGTGTGCGTTGTCTCCCAGAGAGCGGATGTCCGAATCTTATGCTCTGACGTTCGCGGAGGCTCTCGGACGTCCCCTCCCCGACGTGATTGCTCAGCCGGGACTCTCCTACGATGAGGTTCTCCATGATGACTTCAGATTCGATCTGGACGCTCATGACGTCATGGTCTTCCTGCACATACAGAAGACAGGCGGCACATCGTTTGGAAAACATCTAGTTATGGATCTGGATTTGAAGGTTTGTAGCTTTTAGTTTTGACACAAAGACAAAAGTATTCCATGTTTTTAATGACATTTTACTGGGAAATTTTATGTTTTCAACGGACATTGAAATTATTAATATTCATATTCTTATAAAATATGCATTATATGTTAGGTTTTTATGGAAATGAAGGTATCGGTACACCTGACTAGATAAAGTCAGAGTAATTCTTATGCATATCAAGTGTAACACTACATAGCCTTGTATGATGTGGAATATTTATTCTCCTCGTAATTTATTAAATGAACTTATATTTAATTCAGACTCTTTTTGAAATATTTTCAATCGAGTGTTAACCTTGTGTTGAATATTTTAACGAGTGAGCGAAATTAATGACGTGCTACACGTATAGTTCCAATTCAAAATAATTGCTCTACAAATAAATTAAATTATGAAGTGCTTTCTTTTCATGTAAAGGTTCCCAAACTTTTTTCTACACATGACCCTTTTCAAAATTATACAGTTTTCGGTGTACCTTTTGCAACAAGTCTGCAACTTGGGAAACTTTAACTTGACTTTCTGTCACCATCTGTGGACTATGTTGGGGATCTCTGACATAAAGGGGTAACAGTCTATCTATGTGGTTACTTTATAATTCAAGTCTTGATATAAACGTAGATGATTTACGATTAGTACATATCGCGTACTAATCGTAAATTGTAAACATTTACAATCTTTGAGCTTATTAGTAATGTTCTGTCAACCCGCATTTTAGTTACATAATAAACTAGAAGAATCGATGATGGACGTACTAGGTAGCCAATAACCGATATAAACGAAATTAGTAACTATACCTCAACCGCCGCCGGTCGCCGGTCCGCCCTCGCAGCGGGTCGCGACCTCAAACTTGTATAGATGTATTAATCAGAGTGTCACCAAGTTGATCGAACACCGACTCGCCGGCGCCCACCTACGTCTCAATTTAGACGGCAGTGCTAGTTTCACACGAGGGCAGAATACTAAGGTAGAATAGAGGATAGTGCAGAACAGATACTGCTCCGTCTTCATGCGGTGTGTCCACATAATAGCTGTACTGCACATCCTTACTGCACTGTCTCTGTTCTTGTGTGAAACTAGCATTAGCCTGTCCATTTAGAGACTAATGGGATGTTCCTTGATGGATTCCTTCTAATGTCGCTGATTGGATTGAGTATCCATGTGGAACAGTAGATGAATCAATGTCAATAGATAAATGTTTGATTTGTGGTATATTTATTTATTTTTTCATTAGTCATTGTTTTCGCTGTATCTTATCGATTTATGGAGGAAAAAGTTTTAGCAATAGACACATACAACTTTGGTATTATGATTTGACAATTATTACGTAAAGAATTTTCATTAATAATTGTATATATGTTACTTACTTAATGTTACTTCAAAAGAAGAAATGAAAGATGATGTACTTAAAAGTGTATCTATTAAATGTTCTAAAAAATCAGGGGCCCTAAGTTTATTGCGTCATGACTGGCTTTACATAACAATATGTCTTTTACGTCTAGATAATTGGACGTCAAAAAGTTACATCTTAATCTTCTTCATTGATGGGATGATAAAAAATTGGCAAGTAGATAGGGCTCATTATTTCCTTCTTAGTTTGGACGATGTTGGATTACTTTTGACACTCCGCGGCGCACCCGCCTCACCGTTAATAGCAACCATTAAGTGGGATCAGAAGCTCGGGACATCAAGCGGTGGATATTACTAAGAAAATTTTAGAGAATCTCATATTTTTTATACTCATTTTCCCTAATCTGTGGTATAATGCATTTTTGTAGTTAGTATTTTTATAGTAAAGTTTTTGATTGCGAAACAATTCTGTTTTTCTTAGTTATCTGACAAGAGTTGGTTGTTTCAAATAACAATATCAAAGTTGTACGTGTTTCATAAAACTATTGTTCAAGCTTTCAAAGAAATCTTTCAACAACTTTTCTTTGCGATATTTACCGGGCGCCATTAGAAATTCCGGAGAGGTTTTGCGCCGGCCTTGAGGCTCTATCAACGGTCGACCTGACTAGCTTAATAAAATATATTTCAAGCTTCAGATAAACCGCAAAATATTCGTCTGGAGGTGTTGAAAGGGTTTGTAATCTTACATAAATGTATAATGATAAAATGCCCTTCAGTACTTATTTTTTAAGATTTCTCAGGCATTATTTTTCAAGAAATAATAATTATATTTGATATGGTCTTGAACATTGCATGCCAGTGGTGGATTTAAATTCACAATTATCTAAACTATAAAGACGAAATATTTGTATTTTTGTATGTATTTTATTCACGTAAAAGCTACTGGGTCGATTTTGAAAATTACTCCACCGTTCGAAAGGTAGTTTGTCTGTGAGTAACATAGGCCATATTTTTTAGTTTTACGCATACAAAGTCGCGAAAAAAAGCTAGTATTAAATATATTTGCAAGAGTTGACTATTATGTAACTATTCGGAATATTAAAAAGGTCAATGGAATCTATCACGTATCTCAATAATGATGACTATCTAAATTGAATCAAAGCATTGCCTATTGAGTAAAAAAGGCCGATGGACCGATGGCGAGGTCAGAGGGCATAGATACTGGCTAACAATGGAACTATATGCCAACGAGGTTGATACATGCAAGACGTATACCATTATTTCCATTTGTTAAATAACAAAAGAAACCGCTTATCAGTACCGATATGAGTTAATCAAAGCGAATCTATATAGAAAATGAATTTTTTTGTTACATATGCGTTTGTAATCCAATCGATAGATTTTATGAACCTTTCGTAGGTTGTTCTGAAGTCACTTAGATGTTCTTAGACTCACTTTTTACTAATATTATAAATGCGAAAGTTGCGAAACATGGATGGATGGATGGACGCATGGATGTTTGTTTGAGTTTGTAACCGAAACTGCTGAACGGATCTTGATGATATTTGTCATAGATGTAAATGATATCCTGGAAGATCACATAGACTACCTACTTTTGTTTTTTTGTTTTTTTGTCGATGGAGTCGCGGGCCAAAGCTAGTATTTAGTTATTATTAAAGACAAAAAAACGTGCTAACTGTTGATTATATTAAAAAAAACATCAGCAAATTATGTAACTGTCTAATAAAAATGGCCGCGTGTTTTAGTTAACGATAATTACAATCATTATTCAAACTTTTTGCTTTGCCCTCATTTGAGGATCCCTTATTTGGCGAGAAGTAAGCCTGGAGTTAACTTATTGCTTTTACTTTGTAAAGAAAAGTTTGTGCATAATTTCAAGTTCGTGTTAGCCAGCGCGTTAATTAATTACTTTGATTAATGTTAAATCCCTATTAATAAGGATTATATCCATCTCTCACGTGTACATTAGTAGAATTAACACTAAGTAGACGAAATATTAAATTTACTGGGAAATGTAAGGGTGGGCACAATCCCTTAAACTGTCATATTTATAACTATGTACTGGTATCTATATCTAGGTTCTACACATATTATAAAATAGGAGTGTCTGTTTGTAATACCAAAAGAAAAAATCAAGATTTCGGGAAGATGATGTATTGCTGATAATGATGCGATAAATCGCATTTAATTTTTTGTTGTCTGTCTGTCTGTCAAGACACGTTTGTTCCGGGTAATATCCGAAACGGCTAGGCTGATTTCGACCGGACTTTTACTGAAGGGTACATGACATAGACGGGCATATTATAGACTACTTTTTTATCCTAATATTATGTGGAAGAAGTCGCCGGCAACAGCTAGTTATAAAATATCTGTTTAACTCTCGGAAACTTTTCGTTTGTCATTAGAATAAAAAAACACTTTCTCACATTTTAATTCACCATTATCCATAATAGCTTTTACGGTCGAAGGATTTGTAAAGATATAAAACTTTTTATCTCATAAAAGACTGGCGGCAATTCGGCGGAAATTTTAAAAGCTATTTGACTTGGCGAATTTCCCATTTCATGCATAGCGGTTGACTTAAATATTTTATATTTCCAATATGAATTTTATTCTTTGTTGCTATAAAAATTGGTTCGTGTTCCTTCGCTCGTAAAGATAATCTCATTGGCACTTTTGTACAACGCGATTCTATGTGAGAATTTTATCATATTCCTCACTTAAATTGAGATTATTTTTGTAAGGGTTTTGAGATGCTTATTAAATCAATTAGCATATTTGACAGATATATTCACACTTTTAAAAAATAACTTGCCAAAGTTCATTCAACGGGGAATCGTTATTTCAATAAATTCTCGCTAAATTATACAAGGAAAAATATATCGCAAATGCCTCGACAGATTAGGTTATGCGACAAACTGAATTTATATTGTTTAATGACTCAAATTTCGTTTTTAAATGTATAACGAGTATTGCTGACAAGTTAGCAATGTCTTGTAGAGGATATCGACATGGGTATTATGAAGGTATATAGTTTGTACGCGCTGCTCGGTCCCTCACGTACGTTATGGATTTAAGTGCTGCCTCCCCTGTCATTCTTTTCATATCGAATTGGCTGGATAAAAAGTTCTTATGTCTTCATCCCCTGTCTACGTAATACAGTATCTCTAATACAGTTTAAGATGAGCTTCCACTTCATTTTTATATCTCAATTTTCAACGACAGAATACCAATTTTGTTACAAGTTTATACTTTAAATCAATAAAACGTAAATTCTACAGTCTATTAAAATACGTACAATTTATTTTCAATGTATTCTGAACGGAATTTCAAAAACTATTCGGTGAATTTTTCGGTAAAATTTTTTTTTTTTTCAGTTCATAAATTCTAATTATTTAGTGAGTGATTGTGTTTTTGTTTTAAGATATTTGTTGCTTACATATATGTGTTTAATGCCATTACTAAAGTTTTCGCAACAGACGGCCGTGTCTGTTTGTAAATTATACGATTTGAGTTGACCGTACACAGGCTGCGCGGACAAGAAACAGCTTCGATGTAACAAAAACCTCAAGTAATGTTCGTTTGTTCTTTCGCAGTTCGTTTTTGTC